TTGCCCTGGAATGGCTCCCCCCCCTCCTGACAACCTTGAAGTTCCATTCCAGAATCTTCTCCACTCATGCCATCCATTACGATTTCTGATTTCAAATGGTTAGTAGCCATTTTGTATATGTTGATAAGTTTGGAAAAAGGTACTCCAGAGATGCAGAAATTATGTTTACAAGGTTTAATATGGGCCACTTGAAATTCCCAACAATGATTGTTGAGTCTTATTTTGTGCTGCCATAATTGATTGATTTTATTGATCATTAAAAATGCATAGTTTTCAGATTTACGTGAAAATACACAGGCTGGTCCTTGCCCAGGTCTAAGTTCCACTGATTGCAGTGAGGATCTCTTACCATTAAGGCTGTTCATTATACACACAACAGGAGGAAAACATCTTAAAACTGCATAACCATCCCTCCAAAGGAAGGATTCAGATTCAAGGACTTGCTTTCTCTTACAGCCCTTTCTGTAGGCATCTATTCCTAACCACAATGATGCCAAAATTAAGAAATATGTGTCATGACAATGCATCCTCTGCCCTTTCACACTTCCTCTAGTAAGTTTTGTGAAATGAAACAAATGAACATCATTAAAAAACCCAGATACTGAATTTAAATGTCCTTGATAATTCCTCATAAACCAGATTCATTATAGCCATATTTTTCAATTACAATACTTTTTTTAAAAAAAATTAGTTTATTAGAGCTATTTCAGGAAGCATTAGTAAGGCCTGGGTTAAACCTGCATTCTTCAATACAGTTATGTAAGAGTAAGTCCTTCTGAAATAAGTGAAACTTACTTTTGAATAAACGTGGGAAGCATTGAGCTATGCAGATAGATTAATCATTTGATCCATAGCCTACTATGACATTTACTTATTTTTATATGCCAAGGTAGTTCTGGCATGTAAACTTCTGGCAATGAAAGGAAGACACTCAGTAATAAACAAGGAAGTTAATCTGGCAGAAATTATTTGATTCATAAACCTCATGTAAAATATGACTATAAGGCTAAGGGACGTTATATCTCTTTCCATTTTCTTCATCACATGCATAGTCAGACAAATAATAAAATGTAGAATTTTTGAATGCTGAAAGCATTGTTTATTTGATAAATCCAAATTCACCATCCCCTTTGAAGGAACATATATGATTTAAGGAGATACTTTGCTCTAGAGGTAGGAACATGCCACTACAGATATTGAACTGAAATACCCAGTAGCTCCAGGAAGCACAGTCAGTGGTAAGAAATGCTGGGATATGTTGTTCAGCAAAATCTAAGGCATATAATTTCTCTACCCAAGTCTTAACTATATTTAAACTGAGTACAAAAGATATTTACATTAAATTGGATACAAATTTGTGCTTTGAATGGCAAAAAAAGGCTTATTTTTAAGATACTTATCCTTTCCATGCACACTAAAAAACATATATACATAAAGAAGGAGAACCCAAGATAACAAGGAGTGCACACATGGTGTCTATGTGCTTGTAAAATTCTTTTTTATTTTACCTTGCCTTTATTTTTATATTATATATATACACATACATACATACATACATACATTTTTTTTACTAAAGAGAGTAGGACAGGCTGCATCAGTTCATTTTAATAGCGTACACTTTCAAAAACACTTTGTGGAACAAGTAAGAGAATGGGAAAAAATAAGAAGCATCACAGAATGAATTCAGGAACAACCAGCACTTCAAAGCCTCCACAGCAACCAAAAATTGCCGACTGTTTAGCTACAAAGAAACACTTACCAGTAAGTAAATCTGATAATAATAGTAATGGTAGAAACATCACTTATATGAATTGACAGGATGTCTCGGAGTGGGATTTGCAAACGGAGATCGAACCATAACTGTTAGATCTCTCTACCTCTCTTCGAGAAGATGGCCACAAAGTTTTTACAACACACTCCTCTCCTGAGGCTGCTGCCAGTCCCTCGGGCAACTTCAGCATCCACTAGGGAGGGGCAGGTGAAGAACCTCACAAACAAGAGTCCCACAGACTTTATATCGACCATGCCTTTGAACAGCACAGACTGTGCTCTCTATTTTTGACTATTTAACAACAATAAGCAACAATGTGGATTCCTTAAAAAAGTATTTTGACACTTTTGCTCAGAAACATTTAGACAAACTGACTGCATTTATGGCCGAACAAACTAACACTAGGAGAGAGCAGCCTGCATTTAATAGCAAAAAACACTTGAACTCCAACTGTAACACCAATAGGAGAGAGGACTCCCCATTACTGTGCAATGAGAAGAGAGAGAAGGGGATTGGGAATACTTGAATCTTTCAAATAAACCAGGTCGCCCTACATATTTATCTTAATAGAACTAACAAGGGGTCATTGGGATACAAAAAGAGCTATTGTTCCATCCTTAAGTCAACCCCTCTGCTGTCAACTCCATCTGATAGACTTGCAGGCAGCGGAATGGCTACCTACTAAAAGGGAAAATAAAAGAGTTTTGCTGACTTTTAAATGCTCTACAATCCCTGGGATGTTGCTTAAAATGAAAGCTTTTCTTGGTAAGTTTCAAATATTCCCACTATGTGTGTTTCAGGATAAAAAATATGCTCACTTTTTTATCCAACTATGCAAGATGAAGATCTCTTCTAGGCTCTAGGAATGATAAGCTGCCTACCACAGATAGCTTTGAGAGTTTGACCTTGACAAAAAACCACTCAGATAATCACCTAAAGTCATGTGGTGACAGAAAGGTTTCTGATGATGCTCTAGAAGCACAGCTGATTCATTCTTCTGGAGCAGTACAAATAGTGAGCAAAATGAAATATTGAGAAAACCAAGGAATTTACAATAGACGCTGTTAACAACATGTATAGCAGCAGAACCTCTGGTTGAATTAGTGGCAATATCTCCCCAAAAGGGTTGCAATAACAATAATAATCTACATACACCTCTGATACATTTTCACCTGAGGATTTTCAACAGAAGAGCAACCAGAAGGAAGACAATCTCACAGTTTTAACAGATTAAAAGGGACTTAACCTGCAGCACCCAATCAATGACTGTATCTCCTGTGATGTAAGTCCTGGTCCATGGCATACCAATGCTTTGCATCTCTGTCAGACCACAGTTCTACCAAATGGACTGCAGGCCATAGGGAACCCTCGGAAGAAAACTCTCAATACTTTGGATGAACCCACTGCCACGGGTAGTTTAGCAACACCTCTATCCTGGCAAACACAATCGAATATTGGAGATCGCCAGGCCCCCAGGTACATTGAACCAAACTAAGATGGATGACCCTAACATCAGTGCATTGGATTGTTAGGTGAAGAGTCACATGGACACCAGACAAAATATTACAACAACAGGGAGTCAACATGGTGAAGAATCACATAGTTCTGGTAAGCTGCTTTGCTGTGTAGAGTCTTCAAGGAAAATTCAAGTTGCTGATCTGTGTGTATA